ACACTACTTCCCGGTCTCTGTCTAGATACACTGGTCGTCGAAGATTGCTGGCACGGTTTCGGCATGGGCGACGGTTGGCGAGACGTCACAACCTACTTCGATATCGAGACACTCTTGAACAGCGATGCTTGGAAGGAACTGACCTACATCACCCCGTGTACCGATTTCATCGCGTCCGGCTACGACCATCGGCGCAAACGATCGGCACAACCTGAGAACTGGGATGCGCTCCTCAAGGAACGGGATGGAGAGGAGTTCGGCGCAGAGGTCAAGATGTACATCGTTCCGTATGCGCAGCAGACGGCAACTGGTGATGAGAAGACCGAAGATGGGCGCACTATGCAGCCGTGGGCAGCGAAGCCAGGGCACGAAGTTAACGAGAATTGGAGAGTCGCAGGGCCGGACCAGGATATGAAAGGTGAAGTGAGACTCATAGCAAAGAGAGGCAAGAGATCAAGAGCTGTACAGCTAGGATTGGCCGGGAAGAAGACCTGGGAGGAACTGAAGGGCAAAGAGCCAGGCGGCTTTGCCCCCGAAGGTAAGTCTCATTCCAACTCCTGCAAGTCCTCAGCTCACACTACGCAGGATGGATACCGTACCACAACGACATGGCCGACGCGGTTGCGTGGATATATGGGGGCCACGGCAGAAGGATACAACTGGCCAACGCGGCTCTGAACAGTTGACTACATGGCTTCACAACACAGCCGGTTTACGCGCCTTGGATGTCGACCCAAACGTAAGGGTGGCTGGCGGCCGGATCCATGACCATGCAAGCCCTTGTCGGCATTTAGGCTGTATGCACCCGACACTAGGGTACGGCAAGTATAATTTCCTAGACACGTTCCTACAAGCCTCTAGCACGCGGCGTAGCGCGTAAATAGCACAAGGTGGCTGAGATGTCTTACACAACGCGCTGTGATGATGAGGCAGAGTGGTGCGCGACAGGACAGATGCTTCGGCGAGCAACAGAATGCAGTGTGTATTGGAAGGGTACAGCTGCATTATTGTGAGTGATTGTGCACGACTATTGTGATACCGAACTGGATTTCCCTTTCCCTGCCGTTTACATCATCGCGTAGTATTGTAGTACAAACGCTCGCTAGTCCTCGTGGCGTGTTCACCCGCGCAACGCTCTCTTCGCCGCTGCTCTGCAGTGAGCGAGGGACTGCCCGTTTCGCGCATCCCTTCGCTTGTCCGAAGTGAAGGAAGGCGCCTTACAAATACCACTAGGCACTACACGCGGTTGCCTCTGAACGACCGTCGTCTTTTCACTTCCTCAACACGGGACCAAAGACGCGGCACTGCGCATCGCTTGACTGTAACAATTCGGCCGCCTGCTCTACCTTATCAGGCTTCTTATCCTCATTCTCATGCGCGATAGCTTTCCGCTACACCGGTTCCCGCCAACATGGTAGGCACACTGCTCTGCGCAAATCGACCAATCACTGACGGTCATTAGATCCAACTACTTGCCATCGTTCTCATGTCTGCTCTCCACGCTGGGTCCTCAATCGCCCAGCAGTATCCACTACCTGTAACCTACGATACCGTTATCCAATCGCCTGCGGACCCGCGCATCACCATATCCTACAAATCACCCGAGGCCCACGTATGCGCAACGGCGTTTGAGACACAGAAGCAGTATACTGGATATGTCAACATTCCCCCGTTCACACTGTCGCCGGCCGAGCAAAACTACCCGATCAACACCTTCTTCTGGTTCTTCGAAGCACGTGAGAATCCGGAAACTGCGCCATTGACCATCTGGCTGAGTGGAGGACCTGGAAGTTCGAGCATGATTGGTCTCTTCTCAGAACTGGGGCCATGCGAGCTGGTAGAAGGGCCAAACGGCAGCTACGTCTCTCAGCCTAGGGTTTGGGGATGGGACCGCAGCTCCAACATACTCTTCATCGACCAACCTACGCAGGTCGGCTTCTCATACGATGAGCCCGTCAATGTTTCGGTCGACTTCAGCAAAGGCTACTGGGCAGATCTAGATCAGCGCATGGAACCTTCTCCGCTTCCCGCCGACGTCCCGGAATGGCGCTTCAAAAACGGCACCTTCCCGTCTGCCAGCTCTAGGAAAACTGAGAACTTGACTGTTATTGCTGCGGATTCCTCGTGGCACTTCCTTCAAGGCTTCTTGTCGGCCTTTCCCCAGTACAACCCTGGTGTTCGATCCGATACCGACACTGTCAACCCCTCTGAGATAAACCTGTTTGCTGAGAGCTATGGAGGTATTTATGGTCCAGTCTTTGCAGACCACTACGAAGAGCAGAACGATCGGCGAAAGAAGGGCGATCTTCCGGCTGAAACGTTGGAGATACGCGTTGGTTCAGTGGGCATCGTCAACGGTATAATGGATGTCAGGACGTCAACAACCTCGGGCTTGCTCTTCGCATACAACAATACCTACGGCATCGAAGGCTATGATCTCACAACCTATCAAAACGCGATATCAGAAGTCTATGCAGAAGGGGGTTGTGTAGATTTGGTTGACCAGTGCACTGCTGCGGCAGCTGCCAACGATCCCCAAGGCCTGGGTACCGTCCAGGAAGTGAACGACATTTGCATAAGTGCGCTCTTAACATGCCAAACAAACGTCGGTCCCGCCTATCTTCCTGGTAGAAGTATCTACGACATCCGAGCTCTCCCGACAGTTGGCCCTAGTGATGCACTTGAGACCTACCTTAACGAAGAACACATTATGCAATCCGTGGGTGCTCCAGTCAACTTCACTTCTACGAATGACATGGTTTTGGATGCTTTCAGCTACAGTATGAGATCAAGCCCCATTCTCGATTCTATACGCATCTACTTTGCTAACCATAAATCTAGATGGAGACTCCGCCCGCGGAGGCGCATTGGAGGCCGTGGCAGACCTGCTCGCCCGCGGCATCAAAGTCGGCCTCATCTACGGTGACGCGGACATCATATGCAACTGGTATGGAGGACAGAACAACTCTCTCGAGATTGCCAGTCGTGTGCCAGGCTACGAGACGACTTTCAAAGAGGCTGGATATGCGGACATTCAGGTGAACGAGGCTTACGTTGGCGGCGCTGTCCGTCAATATGGCAACCTGTCCTTTTCTCGGATATACGACTCCGGTCACTACGTCCCGAAATTTCAGCCAGAAACCGCATTTACCGTCTTCAGTCGCATCATTCATGGCGACGATATCAGCACCGGTCGCGACGTCGACCTGTCCAGCTTCAGTACAGAAGGCCCCAGCACCTCTGAGCACAGAAATGACCCAGGAGAGAGCCCTCCATCCATCTGCTGGATTCGTCAAGCAATCCTTGCCTGCACGGAGGAGGAAAACGCAGCTATCATCGCGGGCAATGGTACCGTGAAGGCAGGCATCTGGTATCCATCCGAGGAGGACGTGCCGACGACCGCGGGTGAATCCGAACCACAGCCCACTGCAACGAACTCGATGCCCATGACTGGAGTGTACACCGCTACCGGCGACCAGAAGGTTAAGCAGACCTCCGGAGCATCAGCACTCCGATTCAATCTCCCTTTCAGCCGTTCGCGCCGTCAAACCCCAGGCGATATATTGTCTGAAGCTGATGCTCGCGAAAAGGACAGCAGCATCAGGAACGGTCTCATTGGTGGTCTCGCTGCAGCGGTAGCCCTGTTCCTGTGAGTGCATAGCACTCTTCCCATATCTGTCATATAGACCGCCTTGCACACTCATTCGCGCAATTTCTCTTCACAAACATCACCTTATAGCTACGGCCGCGCTTTCTCTTCTCAGACCTGCCTTTTACTGAATGAATATATACAGAGGTTTACTTTCCATGCTGTGCTGCTGCCGTTGCTTCAGACGACGTAAAGTCTACGATGGACCTTTTCCGGATGATGCTGAGAAGGGTCCAATCGTTGTCGAGCAAGTGATTGATGATGACCCAACGCCGACGCCGACGTCAACCATTCTTGGTCGGCAAATAACGCACATGGAGTCGATACCAGAAGTAAGCCCTAGACCAAGCGAAGATCTCATAGACAGAGCAGCGGCTGTGTCAACCAAGCCAGCACCAATGCCAACCGCAGAAGAGGAAACTTCTACCGCGCCCGTGCAGCGATCACTCTCCCCATCGCAAGATGCAAGCCTATCACCGCGCGTCCCAAGTATCCCACCTACAGGATCCTCGCTTCTCCCTCCCAACACAAGCATTGTGGCGCGTCCCCAACTTTCGTCCTCGGTGTCCGTGCCGCCAACCAACCCGCCGCCCTTACAATCATCCACCCCAACACCGCCAATCAGTCCACCCGCGCCCCCACCACCACATGCGACACCACCTGTACCTGAGCCAACACCGTCTCCGGCCCTGACTCCTGGGTCAACGGCCATCCCTTCCTCTCGCTCACCCCTGCGCACTCCTCCGAGTAATGGCCCGGCACCACATGACCTGTCGCCAAAGATAGAAGGAGAGCACGGCCCAGAATCGCCACAGCCGTCGCTATTTTCGCGGATTAAATCGCTGTTGCTGCCTAAGTCTGCGTCAGAGGATATGGAAGGAGGCGCAATGACTGATGGGACGATTGATCGGCGGGTGTTGAACCCGCGGGTTGCTGTGAGGCCGGTGCAGAAGCGTGTGACGAAGGCTGCGGTGCCGAGTTGGTCGACAGAGGTGTGGTTTTGACGGGGGGTGGGGGTTGGGAAGTACATTGGTATGAGTTGTTGGAGTTGCGGCGGCGAGGGACTTGTGAGTTGGGATTGGTTGGTTGCTGGTATGCTGACGATGGATGGGTAATGATAATGCTGGAGGGTGACGCGTGATGTCGCGAGTGTAAGGGTGAGGGTCGATCCACGAAGTAGATCAGCCTCGTAGATACAAGTCTGTCGTCTGGATTCTATGCGATTACTATCAAACCCCTACATGGAGATCTCAAACATCCAAAGCGATCTCCCAAACATCTCGACTTTACATGATACCAAAAGACAAGCCCGCTTGCTAAAATCTCTACAGGGTATGGAGGAGCATGGCGTTCACTTGTTCCACTCGATCGGATGCCGAGCTGTCTCGCTTTTCATGGGTTCAAAGAGCTCCTTCGGGAGCCATTCGCCCTCCCTCGTTCCTCGGAATTGTTCGGCGAACATGTACGGCTGACGAGTGATGTGAGCCTCCATACCCAATTGCACATCTACGGCTGCCGACTCTCGCGAGACAAACGCGGCTCGTGGAAGGTTTTCTGGGGAATAGTCATCTGGCATATCTGTATTATCTAAACAGATCCGGAATCTCGGTTTTCCGGGGACCTTCCAGAGGTCGTCGATCCAGTGCGCGTCCTTGATCTGGTCACGGAGTCGTTCCGCATGGCGCGTCCACGTCGATAGCAAAGCAGGGGCCAATTCGGATAGTGCTCTTACGAGATCGATCACACGAATGCCGTCTTCTCGGCGAAGTCTTCTCATAAGCAGGTGTGTTCCGATTATCTTGAATCTACCGTGATCGTAGTAATAGATGCCAAGACTCTTACATGGCGGGTGCACGATCTGCATTGACTTAATAGCCTGAACAAGAAGTTGATTCGAAATCGAGTCGTCGATCAAAAGAGAGTTGGATGTAGCCTCCACACGTAGACTAATTTCCCATCGGCCTAGGTGATGTTTGAAGCGGTCCTCGTCGGAGAATAACATCTCGAAGTACGGGTTGATTCGAAACTGGCTAAGATCGAGCCAGTAAAGATTTGCGTCACGAGTGACCGACTGTACGTCTATGTGGGGTTCGCCCCGTTGCGCAACATCCAATCCGTTCAGATAGTGTGTAACTGTGTCCGGTAGATCTGGCGACTGTGCGAAGTACGCGGGGAAATAGAGAAGCCTATGGGCTCGCGGATGACAAGGCTTATCGCGTATGCGCGCCAAGTGTAGACAAAATTGCGCGACTTCGTCAGTGCTAGGTCGAAGCGGGGTCTCGCTCTCCCAATCAATAATCTGTCCATAATCTATTAGTGCATAGACTGGCAGGGTTCGAAACGCGTCGACGTTTGTAGGACTGCGAAGAACAGATATTGCGGAGGTGCGCCAGGCAGTCGACAGGAGCAACGCGCGAACCTGGGCTTCAGGTCCGGCGAACTGCAGTATCATATCCAGTAGTTCGGGTATCTGAAACACATCGTGCTCTGTACGTTTACGTTTGGGTGGTCGCTCGTTGTTCGCTTTCTGTATCGCATCGGGTTTGCAAGTCTGGCAAAGGGCTATCCGTGCCTTTACTCGATAGCTAACCTGCTCTCTCCACCGCTCGACAGCTAGTTGCTCTATTGGTGAGTAGCGCGGGGACATCGTTGTGGGCGCATTCTTGAAATCCATTCCTTCATTCCACTCTCGCCAGAACCCAGGTGGTTTTGTGCCGTCATGTGGCCGGTAGATCGAAGACAAGAAGTCTTCCTTCGCATCCGAACTGGATAAATGTTCTCCGCCAGATGCTGTCCAGGAAATGGCAGATCCCATGTTATACGAATTCTCGTGCCGACAACGCGAATCGCAGGTGAAGAAAAGAAGGAAGCAGGCGTAGCTGAAATTATAAGTGTTTGCTTTGTACAGCTGTCCTATCAAGGTTCTGTGGTTCGCCGTTGCAGGAAAGCGGAAGCCTGGGCGCTAGTTACGATGCGACTTAGCGCAACCGTCTCCCGGATGTCCACAGCGCCTCCAGTGATACAAAGTCAACAGACTCGCGATAACAGTAGAGCCCCTGCAGTCTTTGCGACGCAGTACATAGCCGAGCGGACAGCGGAATGATTAATGCACTGAACCAACTGCGGGATCGAGCGATCAGTATTTAGGCGCTGAGGCAAGGAGCTGTGATCGAGATGTGACATGGTTTTCCGACGACAATGGCATCTGGGCGCGATTGACACGTCGAATGCGCGAGGATTCGCCTCCTTGCCGGTAGATCTAAAGTCTTATGGCGTTGGCCTTGAGATTACCTGAAGGATAGGAAAGCAAATGCGGCGATGATGCTCAAGCCGCACGTAACGCGAGCGCGCGAGCGGCGTGTTGGTGATGGACGCACAACGCGCAAGACCCTGCGGGTTGAACACCGTGAGCTCGGGTGCGGCGACAAGTAGCGCCGGTACCCCGAACTCCTGCTTTCGTTGTGACTTGCACGGGCATGGATCTTCCACGGCACGATCACGTTTCGTCGACAACACATCCAGCCTCTCGCATTGGCCTCGATAATAGCAGCTCAAATGTGCTCAGCTCGCACATTCTCGCGCACTACATAGAATTGTGGAGCGGTTCGTCGACGATGCGTACCAAGGTAGCGAGCAACAAGCCGCCACTGGCACCTCACAACCTACCTCACAACCATGGAAACAGATATGGATTCTCGAATGAGACCTCTTGTGACGATAAGTAGGCTAGTGATATAATCTGTCGGTACTATATGAGAAAGCAGACATACCACAAGATACTTAAAAACTCTTCTTGAAAATAACATCAACGTCCCAAAACTATCTGCCTCGACACAATGCAGATGGCTGCATTCGCGGCAATGAGCATCATCACGACAGGGGCGGCCATCACCTCGTCAGGCAGGGTCACACCCATAACGCGGACCCACGGCAATCTTATCGTATCTCGCGATGAAAGATACTTTTGTTTGGAGGAAAATAACTCGCATCTGCAAGCGATCATAGGGTGGTGGCACAATTTAAAGACACAAAGGAAATACCTTCGCATCGCGAACCGCAATCATCGAGAGTCTGCACTATACCGTCTACCTAACGAGCTTCTCGAGCATGTCGCCATGTATCTCCCTCCCGCCGACCTCCTAACGCTCGTTCGTACTTGCAGGCATACCGCAATTTTGCAACGCCGACGTTATTTCGATCAACCCGCCCTACTGGTATACTGGCGACGCATGAGGCGCGATGTCTTCGCCTCTCGACTGATGCTCGAGAACAAAAGCTGGGATCTGCCTGGGATGCTGTGGTGCGACCGTTGCAGCGAGTTCCACCCAAGGACTTGGTTCGCGAAGACTTTGAGAGATGCGCCAGACGATGGGAGGGAGTGCCAGTTCGCATCAACTGCATATAATCACTGGTGTTTCCAGCATCGGATTGGTGTGCCGGAGAGGGTGTGAGATTAGCCTAAGACTCGCAGGAGTTATCGATCAAATCAAGGATGCTGCAGCTGCCAGCGGACTAAAACTACGATGGTGCTAGGTTAGGGAGGGTCAAGAGTGGCAAAGTGCAACTACGCTCACTGCCTAGAAGGTGGCAGATATTCCAGGTTTAAGTTCGAATTAGTCTTTATTCTGGGAGAACACAGACAAAATCCCGTCATCATTAATTAAAATAGGAATTTTGAGAACTCGTATGGTAAGTAAATTGGAACAAGAAGGCGCTCCCTTATGCTTCCCTCTTGTGTGAAGAGGGAGTTTACGAGCTGAGTATGCCTGTATTGACGAGAAAGAAATAAAGCAAAGTAGGCAGCGTGCCAGTGATGCATCGAAGAACCGTAAACTCTCATAGCTCTCACGCATCCCAGTTGATATTTGAACGTCCACACTCGGTCTTCATTGGCTCAAACAGTTCTTCCGGTAGCCACTCGCCCTCTTTGGTCGCTCTAGGTAACTCCGCTGACATATAAGCGGTGCGCGTGATATGAGCTTGGTACCCTAATGAAGCACCAAAAGCTGCCTCAGTAGCATTTGCCAGTTGTATTGTATTGACGGTTCCAATGTCAGGTACCTCATCTGGCATGTCGCAATTGTCCAGATGAATGCGAAACCTTGGCGTGCCCGGTATCAGCCAAACGTTGTCGACCCAGTGCCACTTTTCTGTTATAGCCTTGCGGAGGTGCTCGGCGCACTCGGCCCATTTTGCCAGCAATTCAGGGGCGCAAGTAGTAAGCGCGTCGAGAAGCTCGGCAACTTGTATGCCGTTGTCGTTGCGTATCCTCTTCAGCAATATGTGCGTGCCGCGCAACGCATAGGGGCAGTTGTCGTAGCGATATATGCCTAGACTTCGACAAGGTGGGCTCGTAACGTGCATCGTTCCAATAGCTTGAATGAACAGCTGCTCAGACAGTGACTTGCCCAAGACGAGTGTTTCCGGTGTCGCGTTAGAGCGTAGACCAATTTCCCATCTACCTAAGTGGTGCATCATACGGTTCTTTTCCGAGAATAGTAGGTCCAAGTAAGGATTGATCTGGAATTGCGACAAGTCCAGCCAATAGAGGTTTGTATCACGGGTTACTGTGCGCGTATGATCGTGGTAATCTTCGTGACGCTGAGCAACATCCAGTTCGTTGAGCGATTGGGCGATTTCATGTGGCAGACCATCTAGTTGTGCCAGCCGAGCTGGAAAATAGACATATCTCCGTGGGTACGATTCGTTCCGCAGACCAGTCATGTGGTCCACATGATGACCGAACTGCTCAACTTCCTGTGAATCAGGCCCTGGTAGAACCTTGGTGGCATCGTCGACGAGTTGCCCATATTCGATGGGCGCCAGATTCGCCAGAGAGCGGAATGTCGCCATGTTCTTTGGATTTGACATAACAGATATAGCAGAGGAACGCCAGTCCGTGGAAACCTGCAGCGTTCGTACTTGAGTCTGTGGGCCTGCGAATAGAAGAATCAGGTCTAGTAGTTCCGGAATCTGGAGCACCTGATGCTCTGAACGGTTGACCGGTGGCAATGCCCGTGGCACACCCTTCGCACGTTCTCTCGTGGAGTAGTCAATGCTATAATGTGATATGCGCGTTGTCATATGGTAGTTGACTCGCTGTCTCCAGAGCTCTAATGCTGCTTGCTCCGCTTCTGAGTACGAGGGAGCTTTTCTTACGGGGAAATTTGCCAGATCTTGCTTCTTGTATATCATCAAGTGTATCTTCAAATGTCTGCCAGTGAGATCTTGCAGGTCGGTGTCTGGGTCATAGATCGAGTGTAGAAAAAGACCCCTGGGATCATTAGCTAGCTTGGACTCGTCGTCTTCGGATCGTAGGGTCGCAGATATCGCTGCACTCATGGTGGCTGAGTAAGAGGATGGTACGTGAACGGTTTGCGAAAGATAAGAGGTGCGACGCTTTCAGAGGGTGTAGATTTAGTTCATATACTAGTTTTGGCTTTGCCAGCTGTCCTTTGTACGTTCCACGGTTGCTGAGTACCTAGGTATGGTGTAGCCTGTCACTAGTCCGAGATCAGCCTAGCTCCCGTACTTGAGCTTATCCCCACATGTGCAGCCACCGGTGCAGCTGCGCCAGATCTCCTCAACGTCCAGCACCATCAACTACCGACACTGTTGCCTAGAGTCTAGTGTTCGCCATTCTACTTTGTACTTTGTAAGGCGCTACATGCGTGCGAACATGTTCTACGGCATGTAGGGAGCACGATTGGCTTCTGTGACAACATTAGAGACTCAGACAGGTGTTTGCAGTGAATTTTGAACATTATAGATTATCTACCAGATCTTGAGGGAATAGGCTCGCTCTATGCCGCACATGGCTATCGGCAAAGGCGATGTACTGCATCTGAAACATTCGCGTGCAGTATTCGTCAATCCTATGCAGCCTGAAGCGATCGAACCACTGCTTCATGTATCCCAGTTAATAGGATGTCGGCCGGTAGTACTTTGAGCGGGCTCGATAAGATCCTCAGATATCCACGCCTTCTCTCTTGATCTCCTACAGGGCTCTACACTCATCAGAGCAGCACGAGTGATGTGGCTTGAGAAGCCGAGCACCCTAGGTCTCGAATCATGGTAGGCGCACTGTTCATCTGGCGACGGACTTGGTCCGAGAGGATGTGATTCATCTGGCATCTGGGCGCTGTCCAAAAAGATCCGAATCGCGGGCGCACTGGGTATTCTCCAGATGTCGTCAATCCAGTGCGCCTTTTGTATCTCACCAACTAGCCATTCAGTGTCTTTGAGCCAAGCTTCCAGCACAACAGGCGCGAAGCGCTTTAGTGCGGCCATAAGCTCGAAAATGCGTACACCTTGGTCATTCCGGATCCTGGTAAGGAGAGTATTGTGTCCGTATCCAGTAGTCTTCCAGAGATCATCATAGTAAATGCCCAAGGCTCTGCAGGGTGGCGTAGTAACATGCATTGACCCAAGGGCATCTAGCAAGACCGTGTTCGAGAGGAAGTAGTTGAGAAGAAGTGTTTTTGGTGTTGCCTCTGGCCTTAGGCAGATCTCCCATCTACCAAGATGCTGCTTGCTCTGATGTTCTTCTGCGAATAGTGCATCAAGATACGAGTTCATCTCAACCTGGCTCAGGTCTAACCAGTGTACATCTCTTCCACGGGGTATAGTGGGCGTGTTCAAGACATTTTGGTCGCGTTGGGCAGAATCCAGGTGATCGAAGATCTCAGACAAGGAACTGGGTAGATCTCGCCTTCGAGCGCACCTTGCTGGAAAGTACAGGGTCCTTCTATCAAACTATTAGCGCGAATAATAAGATGTCTTAGAACCACGCTAGCAAAGCATAGCAAGGGAGATACATACTAGTAATGAGTTAGCAATATATCTTGAGAGCCATTCGTGGCGGCTACTTTACCTTTACACTCGATTCGAGCCATCTCTTGTAGACACGTTCAACATCTAACTCGAAGTTCTTCATTTCCTCAAGACTGGGCTGCAGAGGCGCAATGACGTCTTCGTTGATAAGCCGCCCGTACTCTACGGTCATGGGACGCGTTGGTGTTGTACGGTATAAAGCAGCGATATTGCGACTAATCATGATAGCAAATGCAGTGGAGCGCCAGCTCTTTGACACACGCAACGCTTGTATCTGCACCGCAGGCCCTGCGAATTGAAGTATGATGTCTAGCAACTCAGGTATTTGAAGCGTTCGATGTTCTGTACGGGTACAGCGCCAGTTATATGGTTTCGAGTAGGGAATAGCGCTTTTATCGTCTGATGGTGTGTATCGGTAGCTGGATATACGCGTCGTCAGCTGTAGCTTGGCCCGCTGTCTCCAGTCTTCGACGGCCAAGCGCTCTGCACAGGAGTAGGGCGGCTCCACATCCGGACGCCTGTTCTGGATGTCCGATGAGTCGTGCATGAAGTTTTGGATGTACAGATCCGCGCGAGAGATGTCTGCGGGGTTATGATGCGGAATGTAAAGTGCGTAGAGTAATAACATTCGAGATTCCTCACTCTCCTCGACTGCGCCCTCGATGGTGGGACGGTGTGAGGTAGACATGTCGTTGAGTGTATGCTGAGATACACCAGCGTTCCGGCAGGATCTTTTGTATAGAGAACAGGATGGTTGCTCAGTACATCTGTCCTTTGTGTTTTCTACGGTCGCCTGGCACCAAGCATCGCCCGGGCGATGGTACCGATGGCAGCGCTAATCTGTGTACGGCTAGCGTTTCGGCAAACTTCGCGGACCTCAGGAGCATCCAGGGCACTAACGCCTCCCTTAAAGATATTCAATAAATCCCAACTTCATGCATATCGAAGTAAACTCCGCTGAAACCCATCGCTCTCTGTGAGGGCTGCACGCAATGCATTGGTTGATAGATGCCGGCCATCTATTGTAATGTGAAAAAATTATCCTGAACCATGGTAGACAGGCGACACCCAAAGTTCTGGCGAATGCGATACGCTCACAATGTAATTCCAAGAGATGTATACCCTCAAGCCAACGCACCCGCGCTTGTTCAGATAATTCTAGCAATCGCAGAAAACTGATGCGACAACCGTGCACTATTTCACCTCGATTGTTTCATTCCGAGAAGGCGCGACCCACGACAATCCTCACTCTCACCTTGTCACATACAACCCGCCTTGAATCCGAACTCAACTCTCCGCAACTCGTAACACGCTCGCGGAAACTTCAGCTTTCTCGGTTTCATAATGACTGTCTTCGCAAGCAAAGAGATGTTCAACAGCCTGGGCCTCGAGCAGGTCCAACAGTCGCACGCGCACGCATCGCAAGACTGCACCATCTGCCGCCATCCTCTCGCCCTCCATCCCACGAAGAGTAAGCCCGCGGAGTCCAAGCTTCACCGTGCTGTACGAATCGCCGCCTGCGGCCACATCATCGGTCAACAATGCCTAGACGCCTGGCTCGAAGTCGGTAACACATGTCCAACATGCAAGCGCCTACTCTTCGAACCTACTGGCGACCCTATCACACAGCAAGACATCAACAATATTCTTCGCACCTTGGGCCCGCAATACGGTGAAGATGCGATCATGGCCGTTGTGGCGCGGCGCGTCGCCCGCCAGGAACACGAGCATGCGCGTATGAGACAGGCTCATGAAATTGAGCTGGAGAGGATGAAGGCTGAGGAAACGGAGGCTAGAAATGATGCGTTCAAGCTGTCCAACGACGATTTCTTTGACAGCGATGAGGATATGGATTTTGAGGAGCAGGAGGAGGATGACGATGAGGACTTCGAGGCCGAGGAAGATGACTCAGACTTGAGCTAGCACTTTCTACTGAGTTGATGGAAAGAGAAGGTCAGCATGTGCGCGTAGCTAAGGCAGTGTTCGCGAAGCGATCGAAGGTTTATGAGTGATAGAGTGTCTCCGATGATATCTGGAATTACTTTGGGGATAGCACGCACGTAGTGAATGGCTTTGATGTCTTGACCACAATGGTCTATCTATCCGAAGCTACTGAGTACCTTCGGGGCCTTCTAAGACTTTGGGATACAGCAAAGTACACTTTGATGTATTCGTCAAATGGAATAATTGTCGCTCAAGCTCTGTGCCGATCTTCGCCCGCTCACTTACTCTCCACCCTCAAGTTTGTCCACATCATACCTGTGACCGGCACCTTGGCGACCGCAAACCCGATGAGTACCTTGACCTGCAGGTTATACGCCTCACCAAACACCTGCCTCACACGCTCCAACGTTTCCGGTGAAAGAGTTTGCACTAGCTCCGTCCGTTCTAGCAGGCTTTCTGCAAGCTCCAAGGGTAGGATGTCGGTCAGGTGGGAGCGGATGTAGGGTGTGGAGATAGATGTAACGATGGCGATACCGACTAGACCGCCCAAGGTGCGGAACTGCGATGTAGCTGCTGAGCCAACGGCTGGTGGTCGTTAGTAAACGAAAACCTTGAACCCATGCGTGTGTGAATGTAGTAGGTTACTTACCCAAATCCCTCTTATCCATCGCGTACGGCACAAGCAGGATGAGTCCCGAGTTGACAAGACCAGTTCCCGTTCCGGCAATGATCTGGAACGCATACTGACTAGCATCGATATGCGACGAAGTATCGATCTGCGACAGCAACGCAATACCAAGAATTTCCATCAAGGAGCCACCGAGAATGATCCAGCATGGCGGTATCCTGGGCTTGCCCATCATCGCACCAGCGATACCACTGCCAAAGGGCACGAAAGCGCCGTACGTGAGGAGTCGGGCGGCGGCGGCAAGGGGAGAGAGGCCGTTGACCGTGATAAAACGTTGGGGGATCTGCGCAATGCATACGAACATGACCGTGCCGGAGAGATAGGTATTTCTGCATGTCTACATCAGAATGACGCATCATGGTGATACAAAGTTGTGGACTTACATGATCATGCCGAGCTGTATGCGGCTCTGACAGAAGCGCCACGGAAAGACGGGCTCGGGGTTGGTGCGACGCTGTGTTATGTACCATTGCCATGTGAAGAACGCGACGGCGAAAGGCGCGGAAACGACGAGTAGAGGAAGGACTTTGTTGGAAGACCACGCATAGTTCAGCGACGCTTGTTGAAGACCTGTAGCGAGTAATACGAGAGTGCCGAGCATCAACGTCGCTCCAAGGAAGTCAAGTCGACTGAGGGAATGCTTCGAGAAGATTGGGTGTGTCTGTTGCGCAGCTGGCTCGTTGAACAGCGTTCTCGGAAGTGTGAAGCAAAGTGATGCAGCAGTAAGGACTCCGACAGGAACGCTACGCCAATGTTAGTACCTTGACGAGTGTTCTTCAATGACGTGTACATACTTCAAAAGGAAGATCCAGCGCCAGCTACCATGCAGGGTGATGCCGCCACCAAGAAGCGGTCCCGTAATCAGACTGAGCGCAAGCACCATACTAACACCTGCCATGTACTTTGGCAACTTGCCCGGTGGCGCAATCTCCATGAACATGAGTTGAGTGAGTGCGTATACACCGCAGCCGCCGATACCCTGACACCATCGGAACATGATGAGCTGGATGAGTGTCTGACTGGCTCCGCAAAGCGCCGAGAAGATAGTGAAGATGAGTAGCGAAGCGATGAGGGTGTATTTCCGTCCTGCAATGTCTGAGAGCTTTGCCCAGATCATCTGGAGACCTTGGACAGGATTAGCGAAGTGGTCAGTCTGTGGGGGTAAGGAAGTGCTTACTGCAGTAGGTCAACATATATGCCGTGAAAAGCCATGAGCTCTTCTCATAGCCACCCAGTTCGTCGGTGATGTCCACAATGGCAGTGCTGATGACGGTCGATTCGAGAGTAACGAGGAAGATCGAGATCGTGAGACCAGCATTGATCAGGTAGAGCTTCAGGCCTGTGATGTACTTCGATTCATCAGTCGCTACCACCTGCTCAGCTTCATTGGGGGCGGAAGTATTTGTCGACGCCTTCTCGACACTCGAGTTATCCAGTACGGCATCGTCCTTCGGAGTAGAAGACATGGTCCTGCCTTGAGTGAAAGAGAGCGGGAGTGAAGTGCGGGAGTGAGAGCGCAAGAGATTTCGTGAAGGGTCCAGAGAGGCAGGCGCGTTGTTGTCGCTGCTGTTGCTGTTGCTGGGTGACCAAGGAAAGTGCGAACCACAAAGTCAGGTACGACTTGCATAGCTTGTATGGAAATGTGTAAGGTGAAAAGGATAATAGAATTATAAGAGTGCTTCGACAAGGGGCTGGCAACTGTGCCACGTATTGTATGCAAGCATGGCGTTTCCCTTGCTCTTTCGATAAGACCGCGCCATTCACTGGTCGTGAAAATGCGGTTCTCCATCTGCGTACGGCGAAGAGTACTATTCGAGTATTGACAGCCCGACGATGTAACAAGTTATGCCTCCCATTTGCCATGCCATTGCGCGAGTCTATAGTAAGTAAGCTGATTATACCGGGAACACGGTATCACATAACGCCGCAATCAAACGGGGTTTTGGTTTTGGCCCCATGCATAAGCGAGCAGGATCAGGATCCCCATATGTGAGGCTGTCCTCGGTATATCCGAATTCGTGCAGATAGTAAGTACATTAGCTCTTAGTTAAGCTGTGGGTTGCCCTATCCTTCCCGGTAGGATCGTTGTTGTGGGGGCGGGGCTGTGCGACCATTGGGGCTGGTCTTAGCGCAGGCGCGAGCCGCCTGTTGGATGTTGAACCTGGAGCCGTATTTATCCCGTACCGAGTGCTTGGGCATAACTCATCCATGGTCCAATAGAAAACGCTCGCATGCGAAAATCCTCTCGTTTTATCGACTGTGCCGGAGTGCTGCATTCTTTATCTGTCGCGTGGTGCCAAATTGCGACCGGAGAGGTTGTCCAGTGCGAATGGCCCATATGCGTAGCGAACGTTAGAACGCGAGATTGGAGTTGACTTGGCGAAGGACCTTATTCTCCCTATAACTGATGATAGTAAATCAACCTGGGAAAAAATTGGATAGGTCTGCACATCATCACGGAAACGTGCAAAGTAGGTGACCTAACGTCGATGTAGGCCCCAGGCCTGTCCGGTGTATGAGGTGGCCCCCAAGATGAGCCCCTTCAATAGGCGCCCGAGCTACAAAATGAGTACAACTTGGTCGTCGTCGGGGTCGGCGACTTGAAGCTGAACGAACGCTGGATGACAGCAAACCCCACAACCCATTATGCCGCGATGAGACCTAATCTTGAAGAATGACTATCATAGCCACATCCGCTTACGTGCAGTTTGACATTATACTCAAAACATACATCGCGCTTATAACCTCGCCAAAAGCAAGACGACGGGACGTCTTAAACCATAGTTAGCTTGGGGCCATGTGCGTACGGGTGTATTGAATTGTGGCGTTGAGGACTTCCCCACTGTCAAACCCCGCCCCGCTGACATAGCACTAGTTCGCCCAATATGCTCGGATGATTGTTGATGGCGATGGCCTTCCTCAGTTGGGATGGTATGGCATCGGGAGTATGTCGAAAGTAGCGGGTTGGGGCTGCGTTGAAGACATAAAAAGAAGTCGAAGGAGTGAGTGGTGGTCAGATGGAAGGCACGCCCGACACGTCGCGACAGATTGTGCCA